AGGGAGGCACTGGTGCGGGGGCTCATTGGCGCGGGAGGGTAGGGGCGCGCGGGGGCTCACTGTCGCGCGGGGGGCACTGGCGCGCACGGGTTTAGGGTTTAGGGTTTAGGGTTTAGGGTTTAGGGTTTGAGTTGAAAGAGGAAAGTGCATCTCCTCATAGGCGTAACTTTCATATGAGTTTTTACATTGGAGTAAGCTATTTGCTTTATCGATAAAGACTATATATTTATAGTTATTAATAGTTAGATTTGTAGCATGAACAGTTACATAACGTGTTATAAATTTTTATATAGACTTATATAAATCTGATTGTTAAAAAACTAATCTAACGTTAAAAATAATTGTTTCTACTGGTAGAGTAAAATAACTTGCTAAAGATTCCTAACTTTCCTTGTTTCATGTAATTTATATTATTGGGTTTTAATTGACCATGTGGGCTTATATGTTAATTATTGTGTATTAAAGGCTATCACATTAGGTTAAGCCAATTTAAAGTGATCTAATAAGGTTTTAGGTATTTTAGGCTTTAATGCATCTAATTAAGTATGAGCTTTTTATGTGTAGCGACTAAATTATTATTCTACTTTTATGATGGGTCAAATTAGAAATAATAAAAGTTAATAGGTAGTTAACTTATACGGTTATGGTTCCCGAATCACACGTACGTTTTCGTTTTATTTTGACATCCCCTCATCATAGAGAATAGAGAGAATCCAAGAGAAACTCTAAGGACTAAGTATAGATTTGGAAGACTAACTGCAAGGCTTGTGATTTGCTTCCATCATGAATGATTCAGGTATGCATCCACTTTAGATCATAAATCCAACATGAACGATCCGGTTTTTTGTGAAGATTTTCACCCTAAAGTAATTTTCTAAGATATATATCATGTTACTCTTATCTTATATCCAATATCTAATACATTTCTTTTCCAAAAGAATACTGATAAGCTTAGGTAATGTTAATAAATACTATATATTGACGGGAATAGATTCCGCATAAAACAATATAATAAAGAGATTAAAACAAACATTAGTAATTAATGTCTAGCACTACAACTTACAAGAGGGCAAACCCCACACCTTACTTGAATTGTGGTGTTAGATCCAACAAATTTCCAGTCACGTTGTTCTTTTATAGTTAAAGAAAAAATATTATTTGGAGTTAATTTTACTTTTGAACCGTTAATTATGTTTTTTTGTACAATTTTGGCGCTGAACTTCAAAATGTATAAAATACTGCACTATAAATTGTGCTTCTTATCCTATATTTGGCCCTTCATTCACAAAAATATTTGCTTAAAACTCAACAATATGAACCTCACTTTTTTTTTTGAAGGATAATATGAACCCCACCTTACTTGTTATGAATGGTATTTAAAAAAAAAAAATCATACTTAGAAGTTTTAAATAAAAATTTATGCTCTCTGATATCGGTGACTAATAAAGTATGTGCCTATGTGAGGATTATAATTTATATAAATTCGTTTTAAAGGTGTGATTTGTCTAAAATATTGTTTATTAACAAGTAATATAAGGTTCATATGATTAATTTTGTTGATTTTTTCAATAATTTTTATGACTAAAGAATCAAACATGGAACGAGAAGCATAAGTTGTGGTGCAATGTAGCATTTTCGAAATTCAGAGAGCTAAAGTGATACTAGTGACTAGTTAAATTGTGTTTTTTTTTATGTGCTTTAATGTGGCCATCATCGTGTCTGTGCTTCTACTCATGTTGGACTCTTAGCGTACCATATGGTACTATGATATAACATTAAGGTGAATTAAAAGAATAACACTTTAAAAAAAAAGGTATTAAAATATATTATTTATTTAAAAATAATTTATCTAATTTATAAATCAAAGTGATGCTTGTGAATAATTAGACTTAAAAAATGATACTAAATCTAACTAACTCAAAAAAAAAAAAAATCGTGTCAAACTCGACCCATCTAAGAAATATACAAGTGGCCTTTTTAATATATAATCGTGCAAATTATAATTATATCGAACACCTAATTTTTAATTTGCTCGACTGTAGGG